GCCAGTGACACAGAGAGTTCAGGGAGCACGTGACTAAGGACTTATGAGGAGTTGAAGTGGGTGAAAAAAAGCAATGAAACCAAAGAAGACAACATCTGTAGCAGAAAAAGGAAGTTCACTGTGGAGGAGAGGGTAAGGTATCCCAGTCTTACTGTAACCTCTCTTATTACATATCCTGAACTTACTCTAATACTTACAGTTGATTCTATTGGCTTGAATACCATAAGAGGATATCTGCCATTAACTAATGCCATATGTCACTGGAGAAAGTTCAGACTGGAGTATGTTGTGCTCTGAAACCAATCTTCATTCCAGCACATAGTCACACATCTGATTATGACCTTTTTGACAAAAATGATGCTAAAACTTTGATTTAATGATTTGTATGATTTGATCGCACTGGAAATGTGTTCATTACTTTCTAAATAAACCTACATAAATATACATGTGTATGTATGGGATCCTTAAAATGAGGTTTTAAAGATTTGCAGAATTCCTGATGTGAATTTGGCTGTAAGTTCATATGATGGATGACCTCATATGCAAAGAGCTGTTAGAATATTTTTAAATGCTCCTGTTTTGAGACCTTTCTGGCTGCTTAATACCTGAGTTCTGCTGGGCGACCGCATAGTCCACCTCTTCTGTTAATTTTATGGAAAATTAGAACTGGGTTGAACCTAGTCTGATTATCTGCTGCTGAGCTGATCTGAATATAAACCGATTTTCTCTTCTACCAGTGACACGCTGCTCTACCTGTGCACTTGAGCAGAGCCAGGAGGATCTGGTTCTTTCCATCTATAAAGAAAGAAGAAAAAACAAGATGGAGTGAGAGATTGTAACTGTATATGAACACGTGGCATGCATGCACGTATGCGTTTTCTACTAACCATCCACAAATCTCTGTAGGCTCTCCACCAGGGTTTTGATAGAGGTGGGCAGGTTCCAAGGGTCTTCCTGGATGTTCTTATGGATAACGTAACGACAGCGAACAGTCCAGTCTTCGGTTTGGCGAAACTCTGTTCATGTTAAACCAGAGAACTTGTAAGCCTGTGCGCCAGCTCTCTGACAGAACCGTAGTGACACCTTTCGACAGTGCTTACACACACAAACAAATCTGTACCTGGCTGGCTGTGGTCAGAATAAAAGTGCTTGGTCTCCTCGCAGGCCTTGGTCATGACGGGTCCTTTGAGCAGACTGTTGATTGAGTCAACCTGCGTGCAGGAATAAAAGCATGCACACACTCAGTTAATGAAGCCAGTTTTTCTTCTAGTTCACTGCCTCAGACTCCACGCACCTTTCATTCTTTTCTAACTACCGCTTTTATTTCTGCGCCGCTCAAGCGCAAACACACAAGCTCACACACAGAACTTTGCAGTAACTTCTGGCAAAGGTTTTCCAGAATTAACAACAACAAGGCTTGTGTTAGCAGGCCCCCTGAGCTGCTGTTTACATGTGCAAAGAACTACTGCAGCCAAAGTAGCTGTGCCCCTATCACCTCCTCCTCCTCCTCCTCCTCCTCCCCCCCCCCCAACTCCACCAGCAGGGAATCAAAGGACATCGAGAAGAGATGAAACGACGGATGCATGTCTTCAACTTAGACCGTGCATCAGTGAAAGCTTGTGCGTGTTCAAGGAGACAGAGTGGAGAACAGAGAAAGAAAGGAAGTCATGAGATGAGAGAGAAAGCCAGAATCCCGAACAGAGGACAGCAAGCCGCATGAGGTAACTCAGCCCAGATGCCGACTGATTACTATCACAGTGATCTGTTCCAAATGGTTAATGCTGACATGTGTGTTCCCTGTTTCTTCATCTTTAACTTCTACATCTAGTGGCTGAGTTTAAAGTCTGTTTAAAAACTAGGCTTCGACTTAGGCCTGGGCTTAGGCAAAGCACTTTGGGGAAATACAGCAAAAAATTCCAAGTTAATCAGGAATTACTTATTCCAAACTCAACGGTCGAACTAACCTGGTTGAAAAGGTGCTCGAGGCAGCCGTGCAGCTTGTCCTGTTTGTCAGAGGGAATCCTCATGTCGCACGGCAGCTCGTCCCCTAGTTGACAGTAAAAACAAATAGCTGATGAGAGGCAATAATCACACTTTCTTCAACAAGTATTTAAAGTACATAAAGTAATTTTTATTCGACCATCTGGGCTTATTAAAACACACTTCTCTCCATCTGTCACTGCAAAATCTGACCTGAGCATCATATTAGACCGAATGAAGGCTAATAATTTATTACAACGCAACATCTCAGCGTGAGCTGTTCATGACTTAACGCTGATAAAAAAAACAAAGCAATAAATAGCAGTGGACACATACTTGGCTCGCTGCACATTATTGTGGCTTTAAATGAAATGCAGCTTCTATAATATCCAGCCACAGTCACCTCCAAGCTATATCTAGAGGATTTCTGTGTCTTGGGAAAACACGAGGTAGCACAGAGCAAATCACGAGACGGCTCACACAGATTCATTCTTACGGAAATATCCTTTATTTCTTGTTTTTAAGCATCCAGAAGTGTATGTTTGCATAAGCCTAGCTTATATTATTTACATCCAATTAATTTTGGAACAGAGATGCTTCTTTTTTCCTTTGAGCTGGCTTTTCATTCCAACATCGGATCTGATCTGATCAGTGTGTCGTGTACAATTCAATGTGGAGGAGAGCCAAAACATTAAATACACCTTGCTTATTTACACATGCACAGATTAACTTAAAGCCGTGTAATACCTGATCCCATCTCGTCACTCCCCAGGTAAGAGCTGTTACTTCGCACACTGGTGTAGGACAGGACGGAGTCTCTGTTGCTGTTGCATTCACTGTAACAATGAGCACACACACGCACACACACACACACACAAGTAGCACCCAGTTAAAAAGCATTAGGGAAAAAAGGGCTCATTCCGTTCTTAAACCACAGAGAGGATTTGGAAAGCTGCATCTAGTAATTATGCTGCCAAATAATCCTTGTGATTGTAAATGCCTTTTCTGATTTACAGTATATGAAACCAAAGGCAATTAAACGCTTCTCACAACAACAACAACTGCTGCTGCCTTACACAGAGCTGCATTCAGTAAAACTGTAGCTATATCAGATTCCCAAATAAATCGGATATAATTCGCGCGTGCATAAAATGGAGCTCTCCACTTTACAAAGACACTTTTGTGAACAACTTCTTTTCCTAGTTTTCACGTTTAGTTGGGACTGTATTCCTTTCTTCATTTGCTGGTGTGCGGAGACAATTTCAGCCTTAGTGGGGCTGGTATTTATAGTCATACATCGATGTGATTCACCATGATTACCGGGAGCAAGTGGAAGATTTATGTGGCTCAAATTATACATGGCTTTAAGTGAGCACGCTTGCAATCCCCCTCAGAGAAGTTCAGAATGATTCACAAGCTGAATTACCATGACAAATGGCCTACGAGCGACTACGACCTACAAAACACCATCACTGGCTTTGTGTTGCTTTACTATTATCTGGGCTGGCAGGGT